GTGTGTCTGTGTGTATGCGTGTACCTATGTCTGTGTACCTGTGTGTGTGCCTGTGTCCGTGTACCTATGTGTGGACCCACAGTCTACTGATCTACTAATCAAGAGGGATAAATCCATTCCTCCCCCCCCTCCGGTTGGCAAAACCGACTGATGGGGTCCAAGGTGACATCTTGTCAGGGGGTCCAAAATTCCTTGATACACCCCCACTTCAGACCAACGGGTGGCAAAGCTCACATTGGTATCATTTTAATTCAGTATCTCGAAAAATACTCCATAGCCTCACATGGCACCAGAGTGGCTGAATGTGCTTTAATGTCCCAGGAAGGACGTAGATGGCAGGACGCCGATGCTGTGCAAGTGCACAGAGAAGCGAGGTGCCTCGCTGTGTAACTCGGGCTGTGCCGAGTGCCGGAGGGATGTTATACTTCCTGGCAGCGTTAGCACTTTAGCCCCCTTTATCTGCAGCCTGTCAGGTCCCCCCCGCACCCCCTCATACCAGCTAAAGAGTTATGCTGTTTCTTATTGCTTTTATGATATTACTTTTGCAGGGAGCTTCTTGTTGTTTTACGCTGGTTACTCCACCATTTCATTCCATATTCTTTGTTTTTTCTTTTTCCACCGGTTAGCTTGAATTGCATTTTTGTTTTGAAGTGTAACATTTTACTGAATTTTGTGTGTCACCAACTTCACTGGTGTTTTACTGACTTTATTGTTTCTATTTATTTTATGTTATTATAATCAAAAATATAATTCTGCAGCTTCCCCTGGCAGGAAAAGGTCAAACTGGAAATGAAACTGGGGCCTAGGAAACAGCAAAGCTAATGAGATAATCGCTGAAATTAGGAACAAATAATAATAATAATGCAATTTAGAATGCATTGCGAGAACTGTATGTAACTAAAATCCATGCTAAATTTGCAGGGAAGGATATTTGACCCCAGTTTCAGATCTGAGTCAAGAAATGTTTTTGCATTTGTAGTGTTTTGCCCTGTGGTGATTTATTATCTAAGGCTAAACGTAATGCAGAGCAATTCCCACCCATTTATACGGTTGGATGATTTTGTTATAGCAAATTCAGCTAACTTGTAGCTTAAAGGCTAACCCCACTCCCTATCATCCCCCCCCCACTCCAGACGTGAAGCTGCTGGAGAACCAGCAGTTTGTGGAGAGCGTTCAGGAGCAGGTGAACACGGCGCTGCTGGAATACACAGTCTGCAGCTACCCGCAGTTGGATAAGTTCGGCCAGTTGCTACTGCGTCTGCCCGAGCTGCGTGCCCTAAGCGTGCAGGCCGAGGACTATCTGTGCTACAAGCACCTGAGTGGCGAGGTGCCCTGTAACAACCTGCTCATCGAGATGCTGCATGCCAAGAGGGCGTGTATCTGAAACCCCGCCCACATCGACCCCACCCCCCGCAAGCGGACTCCACCCCCAAGCCAGAGAGACTGAGTGCCATGTTCACTCATCCTTCTCATTTGCAGTCTCATGTTTCAGTTCTGCTATCATGTATGTGCACAGTGACCAAATAAGCTCCTGTGATGCCACCATGGGGTTTGACGAGGGTCTCCTCCCTGTTTTCCCCTCAGTCTGGAGATCAATTCAGCTGCCTCCTCACAACATGAAATTCTACTCTTCTGTCTGACTATTTGGTCTTTTAAGTCACCAAGAGTGCTAAATTCAGCCATAGATGCCATATTTTGACACCAAACACATTAGAATTTGTTTTGTTTTAGAATTTGGAGCACTGTTTTTTTAACTTATAACTGCATTTTTTTAATCAATTTCTGACTCACTGAACTGTTAAGTTAATAACTTTGAAGGTAGTAACGCATATTTGACCTTTTAAGAATTTGTTAGTTTCTTACTCATTTCTTATTAATGTTTATTTAAGTGTTTCACATGATTTTAGTACTGAGCACTTTCTCCTACATTTCTATTATTCCGGTGTTTTTACATGATAATTTAAAGAAATTACTGCAAGTCTGAAAGCATTTTAATTGTCAGCGTAATTGTTCTTTGGAGCTGATGAAAAAAAGGTCATCAGGGATGACAGATGGGTGATACTTTTCCTTAGAAGGTTTGTGTAACTGTGTAGTAACAGCATCAGATCATGGTCACTTGCACAGAAGACAAAATTAACAGTTGCATCCAGTGCAAGCATAATATCAGAGCAATTAGGAAAAGCCGTGCGTAGGAACTGGTAGGTAAGATCATCATTTTCAGTGAAAAATAATCCTTAACTGTAGTATTGTAAGTCACTTTAAAATATGAGGAATAAGATATTGTGACTGAACTCTTATATAACGATCTAAAGACCAGCTACAATGAAAACACACTATGCAAAATGTACCTACTTTATGAGCAGAAAGGCTTAGATATGTATAGAAGTATGCTTTCGGGAGCTCTGCGATGGCGTTTTTAATTGAATTAAATGCTTAAAGAAACTTCGCTCAGTGTAGAAGGCTAGACAATGCCAGCATCACCATTGTTGTCCATTTAGACAGGTTATTATTAGATTTTTAGGATAGGAGAGTGCATCATAGAGGGGCTGTTATGGACGACCATGCCGAACATAGAAGGCGGCTTCAGCACGGCTCTGCAGGGGCAGAATGTGCCTGAGTGTGCAGAACACCAGGGCACGGCCCACTCATCCGTGAGCATATCGAGGTTAAAGGTGACGGCTGGCGGGGGAGGTCAGTCGTGGGCGGACTTGAGGTGTATAGGTGGGAGGGAGACAGAAAGCCCTCGTTTTAGTTGGAGAGTGGACACAGAGGGGTAGGCCCGGAGTGGAAGGAAGTCAGCACCGGGCCAATGTCCATGCATACAGACAGCAAAAAACACGTGTCCAGTGGCAGTCACCCCTTTAGGTGCCATTGACAGCCACCTAGACTGCCATCTTCTGGGGGGTGGGCACAGAGAAAAAAGCTTGGCCAGGGAGCCACACGGGGTTCGACTGGCCCTGCATGTGTCAGTCAGTTTGTGCTTGAATATTCTTTGCCAAACAAATTAAACCAAAAACCCTGATTAATGTGCAAACCCTGCTATCATGAGGGACTCTGATATTCTCTGGGACTAGGTAGACAAATCCTGCGAATCAGGTCTTCATACCGATTCTGTTGTGAGGTCGTGCTCAACTGTGCAATTAAAAGACACTGCAAAATGCCTAATCATTTTCATCCTCATCTTCAGCATCAAGAATACTGGTCGAGAGATCAAGGACAAACCAGCGAGCAGTTTGGGCATAGTGATTTTTCTGGGAGAGATAAGTGAAGGGAATGTACGCAGTCCCCGTCAGACATGCACACATATGCACAAGCACACGCTAACACAGAGAGTGACTCGGTCACTCTGGGAAAAGGACAGTCACATGAGGGGGTCGTGCTTTCGCGACTGATCGAGATGTGTCACAAGTCATTCTGCTCTGTGGGTGTCTGTGACTCATTCTGTCCTCCATCATCTTGCTTGGTCTTGTGGAAATGTGCCGTTAAAACTGGTTTGTTTCCCTATCTTGCTACATTCAGAATATTTCACTTTTTTCTAAATATAAAAATGTTCTGTTATAACAGGAGAGGTAATACTTTGAAAAGGAATAAATTAATGTGCTGTGAGAAATTAATACTGACAGCCCATGCAATGAGAGACTATATGGGCTTCTAATCTCGCTTTAGGTTTAAAAAGTGCAGAACTTTCCTAACAGTACTCTATAGTTTGATCATGTGAAGGGCAGAACTGTGACATTTTAACATCGAATGTGTTGTAATTAAGCATATGACTCAATGTACAAATGAATAAAATGATGTAAATCACAACAAAGTTTAACACTTTTTGCATGGCATTCCTTGGAATCCTTGTGGTTGCAGACTGTGTGTGTCGGGGGGGGATGTATGATGTAATATTACTGTAGACTGATACAGTATATTGTATGTTAGTGGATTTAAAGTTAGCAGAACAAAATTTAGCAGAAGCTAATTGGTCCACTAATGGTTTTCAAAGTGGAAACGCTAATCTGCTAACAAAAAAGTTAGTTTCACTAATTAGTGGATGGAGTATTAGTGGAACCCTGCCTACCACCGGTTGGTGGATAGTTCAGATCAAGAATGTAAAAGTCCAGACCAAGATTTTATTTCAACCAATCATTTGAGTACTCTGTAACTGTTACTCTATAAAAAGCATTACTGTAGAGTATATTATACTGTATTACCGTAGACTGATACAATATTCCTATAGAGTGATACAGTATTACTGTAGAGTATGTGATACAGTATTACCATTGACTGATATGGTATTACAGTAGAGTGTATGATACAGTATTACTGTGGACTGTTATGATATTACTGTAGAGTGCATGATACAGTGTATGATACTGTAGACTGATATGGCATTACTGTAAAGTCTGTGATACAGTATGAATGTAGACTGATACTGTATTTCTGTAGTGTGTGATTCAGTATTACTGTAGACTGCTAGTGTTACAGTAGAGTGATATGGTATTACTCCAGAGTGTATAATACAATGTTATTGCAGATTGATATGGTATCACTGTAGATGTACAATGCGGAATTTCTCTAGACTGATGCAGCATTACTATATAACGATATGGTATGGCTATAATCATTTAGGCCCTCCTGAATGTCCTGTGTATACAGGCATCAAAACCAAAAGCTCAGAACAGAATCATGAAGTTGTTCTGGCCACCTGGTCCGACAGCAGTTGCGTGGTTCAGATGGCAGCGTGGGGAAGAAGCGCATTTTCTCCGGATCCACCATGTCTCTGCTGCCGAATCGCTGACACCCTCCTGGTCACACTCCCCCGGGCCTGATCGTCTGCACTGAGCCCCGAGAGGCTTCAGGCCCTCAGCTCACCTTCCTGCCTTTCCTCCTCATCTCCAGTTTCAATGGTTTTAAACACAAAAGAAAATATAAAAGATCAAATGTGTTTCAGGCCAAATTCTGCTGTAATGGTTTTAAATCAATAAGCACAATCCAGCAAAGCTGTGCGCGCTCCACAAAATTTTAATTTGGGTGTTTTGCTCCCCATTCAGAGCCAGGAGAAAGGCCCAGATGGTAATTTCAGAAAGTGAAATGTCTTTCTTTTTCCTCCGGAGCTCTGTTCATTTTCCTTTGTCTGACCTTCGAGGTCAGCCCAATTAACGTGGCGTCGCAATAAACGGCAGCACAGGGGCCTCTGACTGCCGAAACGTGTGAGGAAAAAAATGAAACTCGACACATGGTTAAGGACTATGGACTGTTAAGAAAAATAAGTCTATTTAATGGCCATTCAGGATGCGATGACGATTCAAAACAATAACAATATATAGAAGACAAACCAATAACTCCAGAATACAATGACTGTCAGTTGAGTGTACAAACAGGTTTTATTTCTATGAAAATAAACAAACATACAGCAGTCTCAGATTCCTTTAAGTGACAAACCCTGATATGGGTTTGAATAAAAATTTGATCTGAAGCTTCTTGGTCCAAAGCAGGTCAAGATTCAACATGGAAAGAGACAAAAGGCATCAATCTCAGCGACGATACCTACTAATACCAACTAAAAAACAGAAGACTTAAAGCTCTCAGACACCAGCATCTAGCACCCATGACCTACAGACAACTCTTGCAGGGAGAACTAAGGTTATCAATACCACTAGTGCACCATAAACTGTAACAGTCACAATGAATTTGGGGAAAGTTTCAGGTTAGGATTGAGAGCTACGGACAGCTGACATCACATGCCCACCACACTTCCAGTCGTGGCGGGTTGGGGGTGTTTGCTCATATTGCACAATGACAACATCAAACCATGGTTGCTCATAGAACAAAGCAGCATTTGCGTATTTTAGCCAATGAGTCCTGTTCACCAAAATCTACTTTAAGAAAACAGAGAAGAAAACAGACATGGCAGGCTGTACAAGATGAAGATCTTGAGGATTGGTCTAGGCTATGTTCCCAGGCCCTCCATAAAAGCTGGTGTTTCTCCCCAGATAAAAAGTCTTTAACGCCATTTCAGGAGATCAGGCGATGTCATATGCTAGCTTGGCACATGCATACCAAATTAGTTGCTTTCATTTGTTAACTTACCACCGGTGTGGTGGTCCTTTGCACGTCTAGGTGTCCCCAGCCCTGTCATGAAGTTAGCGTGTAGCCCCCTGTTAGCGTGTCATCCCCCATGTTAGCGTGGGCTACATACTGGTTCTCTGGTGTTCTACCCAGTTAAAAAACACTGTGTTCAGGGAAACTGGTTACTCCTCAGGGTAACTAGTGACTCTAAGCATCCTCAGACAGGTTGTCCCACTAAAAGATCATCCAGCGCCTTCCGGGACCCTAACCCTAAATAAATGGTTATTTATAATGAACAAGTGGGTTAGACTGTTCCTCCAGGAACGTGAAGAGCTTGTCTATATGATGACAGTAGCAGCAAGCGAGGTATGAAACCGAAGGGTTGTTGGAATGTCCTCATTCTGCGGGGCTTTGGGTTTCAGAGAGCCACCTCTTCCCGCCTGGTCCTGTGAATGCGTCCTCGCCCGCCGCGGTCACCATGAGTGCTGTCCATGCTCTGGTCGCTCAACAACCTACACATAGATTCAAGGTTCAGGAGATCATTGTTATACACACACGAAACAGTCAGTTACACCACACAATCCCTTCAGCCACCGATAACATGCAAAAATGAAGCATAAAACATTAACACAAATTAAGGTGCATCAAAAGACAAATTCAAAAAGACAAGTACAATTACGAGAATAAATAGGTGCGATATAAACATGTAATTCAAATATTCTTAAAAGCATTGTCCCGTTTGAACACGAATGGGTACATAACCGTTTGGGCGTAAGAGGGCATGGTGACTGAAAGCATGCCGCTGGCTGGCGAAATGGTGAGCGTGTGCGTGGGAACCCGCCACAGGACGCCGATCGTGGTGGGCAGGTCTGCTGCCAGCCTACATGCCGCTGAGCCGCAGCGTCTCGGGTGGGGGGCCTCGAGCGGGCTATGGGAAGAATGGCATAGCGGCGGCGCAAGGGGAGCAGGTGTTCGAGTGTGTGTTATCGCAGCCGGCTGAATGCGTTTTTCCCCCGACGGGGAAAATGAAGCCTTTCAGCGCGCGTGTGGCACAGCGCTGTGACTTGGTGCCACGTGGCGGCTGGAGAGCCACTCTACAGCCATTAATTGGTCTTTTGACATAAAGGGAATCGCCCAACAATGCTAATGGCGCCCACGACAAATGATGCCGGCCGTGCCGGAAACTTCCTCCTCCACTGCCACGCGAAGGTCCCCTAACAGAGATTGGACGTGTTGAAGAGAAGTCCTTGAGCACCAAAAGCACCCCCCCCACCCCGAAAAAAAGGGAAAATGACAACAATGCCAGGCGATAAACCGATAATGAGTGTGCTTTCAATGGCCCGTCCGCTCCATAGCAAAGACAGCCGCATCCGAACAGAAGACTTCTCGTTTTGGAGATGAATTGTTCCAGCATGTTGAGGTGCTCATGCCTTCCAGCCTGTTTCTGAAAGAGCGCCAGATTTCGTTTGCAAACATCAACTGTCTGTTGATCCCACAAACCCTGGAATTGTGCTATTTCAATGTGCCCTCGGCTGAAAACGGGCATTTGCTGGGTCACTCTCATCTCCTTCTGTTTGGTTTTCACTTTGAGCAAAAATTTATTTCCACCCTTAGCCAAAAATGTACAAATTAGGGCATGAGGGAAGCACCTATGGCAGCAGCTTAAAACTGGGTTGTGACTAAATTGTAAACTGTAAAACGGTGTCTACATATTATCCACATGCCAATCAAGAGCACCACAATGCCTTTTGGGTAAGATATTCCTGTTCAAGGACTTTACTGGTCACCAATTAGTAAGAAAAGAAAAGTAAGAAAAGGCCAGATAATCACAGAAATAGACTAATTACGGAGTAAAGACATTTATACAGCATCACTGGACAAAATTACAGAGTAAATAAATGTTTCCAATTGGTTTGCGCTTACATTATTTTGAGAAATGAGTAAGAATGTCAATGGAGGTTGTGTTTCTCTTCTGTTTATTGACAGAGAAACTAACCATGGGAGGTAAAGGGGCACAGGAGAGATAATTAAGGTTTCAAAAACACGAGTGGATTCACCATTTTGAGAGTTATTTAATGTGATTAAGATTGCCTATTTATGAACAGTACTCTCTGGCATCCTCTGCAGAATGATCAAGGGGGTGTTCCACAAAGCAGGATTTCTCAGATAACTGGGTTAACTTAAGCTCTAGAAGTCATTATTGTCCAACAGAAATGCTCCTCACTTAAACTCTTATTGTACAATCATGACTTCTAGCTTAAGTTAACCAAGCTAACTGAGAAATCCTGCCTGGTGAAACAGCCCACTGGTCTAGTGTGGTACATGTTCAAAAACATATGAGAGAAAATCCAAATGGTTTCAGGGAATTTACAGGATTTGAGCACACTTAACGGACCCAGTCGCCGCAACAGGCCACGGCTAGAAAAATTCGGAGAGCTTCATTTTCTGTGCAATTATCACTTCATATTCAACCATTTTACGACCATAAACAAACGCTTATGGGCGCTTCTTAAAGCCGACGAGGTGACGGCGGTTGTTGGCATGGGAAAATGAGAAGATAACGACTTGAATCTGGGTTGCGACTGAGACACAGACCAAAAGCTCACCTCAATTACACACGTCGCTACTCGTGCGGGAAATAATGTAAGGGCAAAACACTTAAATGCATACCATCCACGAACGAAAGAAGCCGACTAATGAGTCAAAGTTAGCATTTTTTGCCACCTCTGGGGTGATATGCATTATTAATTAAGTGGCATAACCTTGTCTTTCTCCCGCTTTAGCCCACGCTCAGCAATCACCTTGAAATACCGGCGTCTGAATGGCCGCGTTCACACGCGCCGCGCGCGGACCAGCAACGCAGCGGCACCGGGTTTTACGCCACATTCAATTCTCTGACTTACCTGAAGGCTTGAACGCTGTCAATTGAACCACCTGAAGAAGAAAAACAACAACACATCAAAAAGCAACTAAAAGAAAGGACATTAGCAAATGTACCTTTCCAGAAATATCCAGAACAAGCGTACTTTCTTCAGCATAATGACCGTAATGACTTGAAGGATGTCTCTTAGCCACGCGATCGAAAATGGTAACTTTTATTGCGCCTAGATTTTAGTCTTCGGTAACTAGTAATTCTGGTTTCATCTCAGAAATTTAAATAGCGTCACGTGTGCGTTGTGCACATCTGGTAATGTACAATGTAATATATTGTAGTATGTGCTGAATTTTGTATTTAATCATCATTATAACTAATCTATCTTAAAAGCTCTTTATCCCAGATGAGGACTCCAGTTCATCACATTTCTAAGTTAAATGTGCTACAGAATGATTTTTTATTTTCCATTTTCTCATATTCACCTGGCAGCAGCACGTTAAACCATAATTAAATCCTATTGTATTCATCTATCTGTTTTCCAAGCTAGTTATCCAGTACAGGGTTCGGGGGAGCCTGGAGTCACTGACCCAGGAAGTAGAGGGCGTGAGGTGTGGCGACAGCCTGGCCAGGATGCCTGCTGCTGCAGTGCACACACGCTCATACATGGGGGGCAGTTTACAGTCACTGATTCTAATGCCATGTTTATGATATATTGGAGGAAACCGGAGTGCGGGGAAGAGGCCCAAGTCAACACAGGGAGCACATGCACACTGCACACTGCACACAACAGTGGGATTCAAAGGCCAAATCCTGAGGGTGCCAGGCAACAGTACTACAGACTCAGCCACTGCGTCCAGTTGTTCATAAATGAAATAGCTTATTATGCATATTGATTGGGCTGTCCATCCAGAACGCCTCCCACACCGGGCCCTAGGCTGGCTGGGCACAGGCGTGCAGCCTGGCACGCTAAGTGGTAGAGAAGGTGTGACAAAGGGACATAGATCACTTCAGTAGTTAAGCGCCCCGCTTAGGGGTACAAAGGTGTAGTCCCAGGTGTAGCAACAGCTGCCTTGTAATCCATGGGGCTAATGTCCTGTGTATTATTCAGGTGCTATGCAACCACATGTCTCCATTATTATTATTATTATTAATATTATTATTATTATTATTATTATTATTATTATTATTCCATGTCATTCCCCAATTGGAGGAGTTTAAGTATCTCGGGGTCTTGTTCACGAGTGAGGGGATGATGGAGCGGGAGATTGACAGGTGGATTGGTGCGGCGTCCGCAGTGATGCGGGCGCTGCATCGGTCTGTCGTGGTGAAGAAGGAGCTGAGCCAAAAGGCAAAGCTCTCGATTTACCAATCGATCTACGTTCCTACCCTCACCTAGGGTCACGAGCTGTGGGTAGTGACTGAAAGAACGAGGTCGTGAATACAAGTGGCTGAAATGAGTTTCCTCCACAGGGTGGCTGGGCTCTCCCTTAGAGATAGGGTGAGGAGCTACTCCTCCGCATCGAGAGGAGCCAGATGAGGTGGCTCGAGCATCTGCTTAGGATGCCTCCTGGACGCCTCCCTGGTGAGGTGTTCCGGGCATGTCCCACTGGGAGGAGGCCCTGGGGAAGACCCAGGACACGCTGGACAGACTATCTCTCTCGGCTGGCCTGGGAACGCCTCGAGATTCCCCCGGAGGAGCTGGACGAAGTGACCAGGGAGAGGGAAGTCTGGGTTTCCCTGCTTAGACTGCTGCCCCGGCGACCCGAACCGGAAAAGCGGTAGAGGATGGATGGATGGATTATTATTATTATTATCACTCCAGGTACTATGATTAATGTAGTAATGTATCATTATGATCACTTTATTATAAACTGCTATATAAGGTGTAATGTACTAATCAGCTCCTACAATGGGGCTCATATATAATAACAATCAGGCACTGCTGCACTGCACACCGGTGGCTGAGCAGGGGTCCGGGGGTCCACAGAGCAGTAGGGGGTCTGTAGAGATTCATGTATATGAATGCCACGAAGGATGAACCATCCATCCTTCTCCTAACTGCTTAACCAGGTTAGGGTCCTGGGGGGGCGTGGACCCTATTCCAGGCAGCACAAGGCACAAGGCTGGGTAACAGCCTGGATGCCAGGGTGCCAGTGCATCAGAAGGTACAACCACTCAGACCACGGGCATCTATAATCACCAATTAGCTGAAAGCATGCCTTTGGACTAGGGCTTGGCGATATGGCCAAAAATGTCATAGAATATGTTCATTTCAGCCGATATTTACATCAACACAATGAACGTCAAATGATTATTTCTTTCTGGTTTAAAGGCTGATTTTTGCTCCAGAGTGAAAGTTGAATAAACCAGATGATTATTTGTGGTTTTAAACTGTTCTTTATCATTAGAATGTGACAAACACTTACCAAACAGCATTTCACATTTCACAAGTCTGAGATAGAAGTTAAATGAGTTATTTTAGTCAGTGCCGATAAAGGCCACCGCTGGCAGTCTTCCTACACTTCCATAATTCTCTGTGAATTATTACTGTTGGCATTTCTCACTCTCCCGATGAGTTGCCCTGTTGTTTTGACGGTATTGCCTGTTTTCTGCCTACCTGCCTGCCTTACTGCCTTCTCTTACTTGGTCAGTAATCCCCCCCCCCACCCCCCGTTTGTGTATTTATGGCTGTGTCTATGCCTGCGCTCCATTGCTAGGCCTGACAAAAAGTCACAGAGGAAGTGACATCATTTCATTATGATGCAAAACACGTCGCCGGGAATCACATTCGGTCTTAAATTATATCAAACTTTTATCAAGCATCTGTCATATTGATATTGAGGAAAATTATATTGTGATAATTACAGTTATCGTGTTATTGCCCAGCCCAACTTTGGACTGTGGGAGAAAATCATCTCACAAGAGACAGTGAGAAAACTGTCACTGTCCAGTGAAAGACGTGTAAAAATACTCCAAAAATCCATTTTCTCAGCAGTGTGGAAAAGGCATTTTCTCAGACACTACTTTACAAAGTAACCCTACAACATAATGAGACACCTTAGCACTACAATTTCAAACCCTTGTTGTTACAGCCATTAGTGAACAGTTTAATGGTTTTGATGGACTTAGATTGTTGTCTGTGAGGGAAAAACATCAGCATCAAGATACAAACTATTTAACAATGATGTTAGTTAGCTAAGTAATATTAGGTTGCTACAGTTAGTCATATAAAATAATCCATAGAAACAACCATCATAAATGGTTAGTTAACATGTGTTAACATGTGTAACCAATGCAAACACAAGTACTACTTAAATAGAGTAGTACAAAACAACGTTTCATTGGTCAATTAGATGTCAAATGCTATTAGGGACAGAGAAAATGGGTGTATTTCATCTACAGTAAAAAGTCACAATCATCAAAAATTGGACATATACAGTTTTCATGAAATACTCCTCACACAGAAGGAGTCAAACCCCCCCAAACCTGGAAGTGTGAGGTGACAGTCACCCACCGAACCACCGTGTTGTCCTACACAGGATGATCCTCTGTGGCAAAATATCAAAACACCAGCACTCCCAGCAGAACATGTAGCTTGATGAATGAATGGACACACTGGGAAAGCTTCCAAGATATCTCTGTTTGCCTACAGTCTTTTCTCCTTCTCAAATTTTTCCAAAAGTTATATAAAAATGAAGCAGTGGACTTCCTGGGTATAGAGTAACCTCTGAGTGAAATGAATTGTGAAATGCCTTACTAAGCTAATGTAAAATTTCACAGAAGACTCATGAATTGCAGGATGGTTACTTGCTTATAACCTGACATGCCTTACTCAGCAAAGTCACGTACCTGGTCTGCCGTAGCTGGTCGCAAGGAAAAGCTCACCATGTGTTCCTTCATGAAACTCTCTGAAAGACAGGAGCAACGTAAACATGAATGACGGCCACAATAGCCAACACTCAGGTTAACAAGGACAGTCCCTAATGGAGTTAGAAATCTTCATGTTGGACACACCGCGCTCCCAGTCGTCCACTTCTGAGAGCCAAGGTCACACTGTGACATACGTCAAGTACCATGACTTAGAGGTGAGTCAACAGGATCACGTCTGACCTTAAGTGGAGTGGATCAGAGAGTGACATGCTACTCACCATTCTGGATGACCACCGACCCGGAAGTGGGTACACCTCCTTGCCCTGAAGTATCACTGGTCTCGGGGCTGGACACGGCACATGCACCGCAGGCCCAGGAAGTGTTTGGAGTCCTCTGGGAGGGTAGGAAGCCAATGGGCTGGGAGCAGTTCTGGAAAACCAGTAGAAAATAGCCCTAAACACTAGCCGCTCAATCAGCATACCCTGACCGAACAACTTTAACCCAATCAGATAACCTACTGTAAAAGACAATGCCTTTCTCTTTTCCTGAATTCTCGTGATGGCAGTCCTCACCTTAATGGACAAAAGAAAAATCAGCTGAATACTAGCATGGTATATAATAGCATTCACTGAATGCGTACACATATAATATCTAAGAAACAGGGTGAATAATGTCTGTCAAAGAAGGATGAAACAACGTGTGCGGAATGTTAAGGGTTAAGGTACGTGTCGCATCCCATATCTTCAGATATAGTTCTATAAAATCATATTCTGTGTTGGTGAAAGAATAGAGGAGAAAATGGCAGAAAGTGCTGCTTGTCTATCAGCTTGTTTTCGAAATAAAATTAGAAATAACATTCTGCTATATGAATCACAGCTTCACTGCAGTTTTCTGTCATATTTATGTGAGTGTTACGTTTCGTTTTCAAACTGAAGAACTACCCACACTGTATGTGTCTAATAAAATTACTTAAACTATGTATAGCATTTAGTAATAAAGTTTTAGATAATGGGTTGACCACAGTAGTTGGGATGTTGTTCTTGAAAGCAGTCCAAAGGAGTTCAAAGGAGTTTTACACACTCGTTGACTCTGGTGCACGTTTTGCGTACAGCTGTGGGCATACCAGGCATCTCTCAGCTATGAAAAGTTTAGGCAATATGAGATCGTTTCAGAGGAGAGCACCTCACAGTAGACTTGTAGTCAAGACCGCCTAAACCAAGACCAAGACACTACCAAGGCCAGAGGGTATCGAGACCAAGACAAGACCAAGACTAAGACCAAGACAGACCGAGTCAAGACTAAGTCAAGACGAGACCAAGACCGAGACCGAAAAAAAAGACTCCCTTAACTTTTGTGTGCTGTTGAGGACTGACATGACGGGTACTGACTGGTCCCAAAGTCATCTGACAAAACAGCTAACACCTCCAACAATTATCTAAAGAATGGGAAATATGTAACTGATTTGAATTATACTTAATTTGTAGATGAAATTGTAACATCAAATTGAAGATACACAATTATAAACTTAAAATTGCATCATGTCCCATTGTAGTAGTACTAGCCAAATGACACTATGATATCAACTTCCCTGAAATGGATTAGGCCTGTTAAGTCAACACAACGTGATATGCAGATGTTATTTAAAAGTCAATGGTCACATTTATTTAGTCAAACAACACAATTTTAAGTAAAATACTGTAATCAAACAATATAAAGACATGTGCACACTTCACATGAATCAAATGCAAACTACAAATACTATATACCAATACAATCTGCACATCAAATTGTGCATTAATAAAAATAAGGACAAGTGCTTAAAAGATTCTGACATCTTGATGTCTGCAGTGGCATGTGATTACACATTTAACTAATGTTTAACTAGTGCTATATTTATTTTGCGTGAATAACATGTATTTTGATTGGATGTGCGCCAAAGTCTGAATCACAACAAAATGCATGTATGTCATAGATTGGTTGCATTTGAAGGGTGTGAAAGGCGAAATAATAATAATGTTGCATTATTGAACATTACGTTGTGTGTCATGGATACTTTTCGCTCCAAATCTCCTGACCACTATGTTGATCTGAGACAGCAAGACCAAGACAGCGAGACCAAGACAAGACCGAGGGATCCGAGACCAAGACAAGACCAAGACCAAAGATCGTTGAGACTTTGACAAGACTAAGACCACGTAAAAGTGGTCTCGAGACCAAGACCGGTCTCAAGACATCCAACTCTACCTCACAGTAAAGCCGTGAGCCGCTGTGTCTCGGAAATGTGCGTCCTTGGACTAGAAACAAATCACCAAATCAGATCTGTGGTTTGCCATTGTCAGCACGGAGACTTTAGCTCGTAAATCAGCGCCTCCGGACGCTTTTGTGCTGCGATCTCGAGTGCCTGCTGGAGGGTTCTCGATCAGCCCCGACTCAACCGCGCAGCAGAAAGCTCATCACCAACCGGCTGCCTACCTCGCTGTTGTAAATTGCGTACACCAGGAATATGTACAGACCCTGCAGGGAGGAAAGAGCAAGTTAGCACAATGCAAAGGGCAAGCATGGCACGTAAAAAGACCGCACAGCTCTGCGCAGAGAATAAACAAGTAATAAGATGTGTAGAATGGAACTGATTTATTTTTGGACAATGGAGACTCTGACCCCAACCTGGAGGAGTAGAGTTGTTGGGTTAGCTGTGTTGAAACACTACTGCCCTCTAGTGCACATCAACTGCTACTGCATAAGAACCATTCCCGCAGCAAGTCAAATGAAAGGGAGAAATTGCAGGATATTCTTTATGGAATTGTTCTTTGTCATGTTTTCAGCATACTTTTCTGTTTGTGTGCTGACACGAGGCTCGCACAATATGGCGACTCTCAAAAGTGCAATGCAGTGATACTAAATGAGAGTCTGATCAGGCAGGAGAAGGACAACACATCATTAGAGAGAAGTCCTACTTCAGAAAAATCTGGGGAGGGTTTCTGTGGGTATGTATATATGTGGGTATGTATATATGTGTCGTCTGTATGCATGTGTACATGTGAGCGTGCATATGGGTGTATGTCTTCTGTACGAATGTGTACATGTGAGCGTGCATATGGGTGTATGTCTTCTGTATGTATGTGTACATGTGAGCGTGCATATGGGTGTATGTCTTCTGTATGCATGTGTACATGTGAGCGTGCATATGGGTGTATGTCTTCTGTATGTATGTGTACATGTGAGCGTGCATATGGGTGTATGTCTACTGTACGCATGTGTACATGTGAGCGTGCATATGGGTGTATGTCTTCTGTACGCATGTTCTTTCACTGAGGTCAGACATCACAGACGATTCCCCTGGCTGATTATACCAGCATGCAGTACTCCCTTCATACAAATTTATACATTTATCAGCCCTTTATCTCCTTCCCCTGGACACTGACAGTAAATCTAAATTAACAAGCACCTTGTGGAGGGTCAGTGGGGGGCCAGGCACCTCTTGTTATTAATTAAGAGGCCAGCCATAGCAGGAGCCAGGCTGGCAGCAGCGAGAGCCAGAGGAAGTGCATCCCAAGGCAGGCCTGATTTATGGGGCACGTGGGCGTGGCTTATCGCAGGCTTGATAAAGAGGTGAATGGTGGATGGGGCCTGTGGGCTGGGCGCCGAGACTCCGCCCACTCTGGCCTGCCCTTCAGAACTGTTATCTCCCACCACCCCTCTACCCCCCAGCCACGCCCTGCCCAGCACTGTACACTGAATTTGGTCCTCACAATGTAATCTAAACCTAATCCACACACACACACACAGGTATGGATACTCATCCAGAAGATAGATGGGGAAGCATGCTCACCTGGAAAGCATTGAGGGCAATAAACAGGTAGGCAAGAACCACAGACAGGTGCACCAGGATCCCGCAGATCCAGGTCAGGCCCAGCACGGGGAGCAGGATCAGGACAGGGCGGGTGGCAGCCCTAAACAACCCGAAGACAGCGTCAGCAGAGCCACGAGGCAGACACCAGCCATCGTTTATGACGCAAGGAGCAGGAGCATTACTACTAACGAATTAGCGTAGCCACCAGGAGCAAAATAATTGTGAAAGGACACAGACGTGGTTTATTCACTAAAAAGTACATTATGTCTAAATCATATTGTTATTCCCCATTTTGCGCTCAGCCGACATCATTTCAGAAAGATTCTTCTCGTTCTCTAAGCATTAAGCAGATAATCTGATCTGTTTTGGTTCATGAATGTGTGTGTGTGGGATGTGTTATTCAAACAAAAATCAGTGAGTAGGCCTATGGATATTATGTTTTATATAATCACTATTATAACGTTTCTTTGTGTAAATTAGGATTTTTTTCCTGCTACAGCTGCAATACCGGAATTCGCTAATTAACAGACAAACAAATACGCTCACTCATTCATTTTCCACACCCGATTGCCCTATGCAAGACACGTTTTTATCTTGGAATTATGTCACCGGGATCGGGCTGGAAAGTAGCCGCGAAACGCAGAGGAGCGTGCACACGCCGCGGGCGCGAATACCGACGGTCCTTCTCTTCCACGGGAACGCGCGGCGCGGCGCGCAGCGGCCCGGCGTTGGTTTGTATCTGCACGGAGGCCGCCATTGATTCTTTACAATGAGCTCCCGGATCTGACAGATTGAATTTTCATCCTTTAGCCGCTAACGCAAGGACAAAATCAACAGTCCCATTTCCCTGCATGTCATCTTTAGTCACATTCGATGGAAAGTTCAAACGAATTCGCGAAAATAATGTTTTAATTGAGTTAGCCAAAGAACCGCGAGTTCTAAAATATTTTACAGCTCAGTCAGTTTGAGTGACTCGCAGTCGCCAAATGACAAATACCCTGCCGTCATTTATTTTCCTGTAACATCTTATTTAATGTATGCTGAATGGTGGAAACGTGCCCGGTTTAGTCACGGAGGTCATTCTGCTGGTGTATAAAAATGCTCTTAACCTGAATTACTCCAATAAAGCATCTCTCTGTGCAAATGAATAACATCGTGTGCTGTTTAGGATAAGGCCATCAGCTAATACTAAATGCCGTTTTTTTTTTTTATCAGAAAAAACAATGCTACTTTTTTAAAATCAGAAAAACAGTGGCTGAATCTCTGCACAGTGTTATTCTGTGTGTTCAAACATGTTTGAATTTGTGCAAGTACAGGGGCGTGTGTTACGCAGTGTGTGTAGCGCTAGATTAATTAATGTCTCGAGGAAAGAGAAATTTCTTGCAATGGAAAGATCCGCTCTGTGTGGGAGTTTCTGTGTGTGAGTGTGGCTCTGACGGCGCAAATGTCTGTAGCTGCGGGTGTATGTGTGTGCCTGTTTGGTGCTGTGAGTTCAGACAGATCTTCAGACTGGCTGTGTACGTCAGAGAGCCCAGCTGTTGTGGTGTGAGACAGTGTTTGTGCCCATATAGGCTAAACAGTATGTACAGAGTGGGGTACAGCACACCTCCTCCGCGCAGACGCAGCTCTCTGCCCGGAGCCCAGGTGCGATGCTGATAAGAGCTGCTACACCCCCGCCTGAGCCCCCCCCCCCTGCTGGCTCCCTAAATCCGGGGAGTTCCAGCCTCTTTGCTTCCCGTCTTCTCCTCCCCTCGCTTCTCACATCAGGAGGAGCCCTTTGTGAGGGAGCCGGTGGTGAAGAAGGCACCTCCTACCCCCCCACAGCTGATGGGTGTCCAGGGAGGGCTTTGGGAAGACGGGACTCTCTTGGGACAGGGGTGTCAGGCTTGCGTCCCATCAAAAGCGTAGGAATCCTGCACATGTGTTGGTGTATCACTATTGCATCGTTACCTGCTCATCCTCGTGCCTCAGCATGCACAGCAGTGCACTTTCCCGGCCTAAAGCCTAGTTCATACTTCAGTCTTCTGTGTTCGCATTTGTACATACTGCATTTCTCCATGGAGGCGTGTGGTCGTAATCAGGAATGGTGTTCCACCAGACCAGCAGTGGGCAGATGTATTGCAACAAACACAAATACAAGCAGTGTAGTGAAATAGCTAAATCTTTTATATAGTGTTTTACTCTATATAAGTAAAGTAGCCACATCAGTAGCCTTATGTGGTAATAAGGTAATATGGCATACCAAGATATTTTGAAATCCTTATGACAACACTACAGTAGCTGGGACCTCTCCTTCCTCCACGACCGGAAAATTTTATTGCCAAGATTTAAAAATGCCATAATAGTATTGATTTTGAAAATACTTCATACTGTACAAAGTCTGGTCAGTATATAAAATGAGATATCTGGCCACCTCTGCACCTTCTACAACAACAACTATTGTTCTCTTTTGTCATTGACCACTGCACTGTGAAAGTCAGTGCTGCCACCTACTGGAAGCATCTAGTCAATTTCCTGGCACAGGTGCAGTTGATGCATATGATGGCGAAATTTACGTCATAAGGCCATGCAGAAAAGCGACGTATATATGGGTCTTCAGTCCCAAACTGTACCCATACCCTACTCCAACCTCTCCAGCAGATCTTTATATGTGAAATATCAGCTGCAAGGACTGAGCAGCTGGGGAAGAAGACACGCCAAAGCATTTAAAAGAGGAGCACAATGTGAGGAGTGTTTGTACTTGTAACTCACCAAACGAGGCCAAGGGCGTGCAACCGGGAGAGAGAGCTGGGCGTAAGCATCTTGGCCCGGCGTCGAGCGCTAGAAATGGTCACCACGACAACCCGCCACAGTACCACGGCATTAACCTAAGGATGAGCAGAGGCAGTCAGGAACAGATGTGTGGATAGCGACTGAATAAAATTTACACATGGAGATGTGATGATGTCAAACTAGGCACGACCCTCTCGAAAACCTGCCATGGCCCCTTCTTCACCTTCTGTAAGGCAGTTCTGGCCCCGCTAAGCCTCGGTATCCAGCCTGGTAACAAACCACACACTCCAGCCAACTTGTCTAACAGTTAATCTCTACCTGAGTTCACCCAGTGCCCTCTATTGAAGAGAGTCAGGGGTCCTGCTGGGTGAAAATCGGGCAGCACTGCTCATGCTTGGGGCTGAAGGTTGGGGGCGCTGTTGTACCTACTTTAAAGGTACATAACCATGACTTGCTATGCACTCTGGCTTATGGAAGAATTAGAATTAGAATTTGGTGATCAGTGGTCATTGTTAACACACCACAGCACACAGTGCGCGACAATGAAATTGTCCTCTGCATTTAACCCATATGTGACATCGTGACATAGCAGGGGGCAGCTAATTCAGCACCTGGGGAGCAGTGCCTTGCTCAGGGTATCTCAGTGGTGCCTTGCTGGTCGGGGATTCAAACCAGCAATCTTTCAATTACAAGTGCGCTTCCCTAACCATCAAGCATAGAAGTTCCTGCACGTATTTATGTTTTGTAAGGGAGATATAAAATAGGTTGAATATGGTGATAGAATATGATGACATTCATATACTTCATGAAATTAATGTTTATTTGTCGCTTGTAAAATTATGTTGAAATCTGTGAGTTTTCATGTACTTTGCTCTCATTTCGGACTCGAGGTAAGAGTCCAGGGTCAGGCTTTTAATCCAGCACCTCCAGAGCATTTTCAGTGGGTTAAGGGCCCTTCAAGGGCGGCATAGAAATGTGTTAACGCTCCTGAGCACCGAGCACAGGATTCAAACCAGCAACTTTGTGATCACAGGCACAGAGGCCTAACCTGCCGCGCCACTTAAGTTTGCGTTCAAGTCTTTTTCTCATCTCAGAAAGCCCACCCCGCCCCACCCCAGAGGTCTGCCCAGTGGCTGCAAACAGATCTGACTGGAAATGCCAGAACAGGAACCCAGTAGGGCACAAAACTGTCACTTACAGATAGTATGAAGAGAACTGGTCCTGCAAAGGCCCAGATGGTGTTGTGCTGCACGTTGAGCCAGCAGCGGTCATCTGCTTTATACTTCCCAAAGGACACTGCCAAGGTCAGCCCGACGACAATAACAGGACACCCTGAACAGGGGGGTAGGCACAACCATCAGAAAGCAACAGGGCCTCTCTGAACAATAACAAAATCACCTTTTTTGCTTTAGTACTGAAAATATGTCAGCAGAGTATAATAAAGACGCCAATAGCACAATAAAAACACGATTTAATTGGTCAGTGACCCCCCCCCCCGCCTAAAAAGCCCAGTGTTTGGAATCTTCCGATTGGCTTTTTGTTGGTGATCAAAGGCATGGATCACATGCTATTTCTGGCCTTGCTCTGATAGACATAGCCCCCTGAGGCCCATGCAGTGAGACACACCTGCACACGCCACACCGAGAAGAGCTGGTACATTTACACTGACGTGACGTTTTAGTTTTCCAAAGATCAGAGAACAAACTTCAGTTTCCCCACCCTCTGGAATTCTGCCTTTTGAAATATTCAAAATCAACGGTAAAACTCTTGCTGATAACTTGCTGCTGATGTCATTCTACAGTCAGTAAACTTGTAGGAGCCGATTTCCAAAACTCAGAAAGTTCACAGAAATGCTACTGACTTACAAGCTTGTCCTGCCCACCTATTCCATGGACTTTTGGAATTTTTTGGAAATTTTCTCTTCAATTAGTAAGCAGCAATATCAGGACAACAGAGAGGAATACAGCAAAAATAAAATGAAATATCAACCGTAATGTCAATGGCAGCCAGACGCATTCTTGACTGTAACCCATTAACTACTTGCTTTGTTCTTCTTCTGAACAAGCATATAGTTACTTAAATTGTGCATTTTACCCAAAGTGACCCACTGCATTGATTTGGATCTAGAAACAAAGTTGCTCCAGGGATTAACAGCAGCATTGAAAGGTTCCTGCGTTCATGTTCAAAACCACCACACTTCCCTCGATCCCAACCGTACACCAATGAGCCATAACATTAGGACCACCTGCCTAATATTGTGTAGGTCAGCCTCACACCAATGAAAACGCTAGCTAGTATTCTAGCATCACAATTTTCCCCCTTTTTCACACATTGTTCCTGCTTCCAACACATCAGCTTCAAGAACCGACTGCTCATTTGCATTATATATAATGCCCCCCCCATGACAGGTGCCACTGTAATGAGAAAATCAAGGTTATTCACTTCACCTGTCAGTGGTTATAATGTCATGGCTGATTGGTGTAATGCAGAATAAAATATCAAAGCAAAATGGTTCAGGGACCATCTTCAGACCTGACCGAAATCGAGTTCTAGAGCTAGTCCCTGTATCTGAAGGTGCCCTGAAGTTACACTGTGAAGCCAGTGTCTGTGCGCCTGGTACCCCAGCCGATGGCGTAGTACAGCTTCATCCTTCTGTCCTCGCTGATGTTCACTGAAACCACCTTGCTCCATAGCAACAAGCCTTCGACAAGCATCCAGGTGAAGGAGGCCGTGAAGAAGAGGTGCAACAGGGCTGTCACTACCAGACACAACTCCTAGAGGGCAGCAGGGGTACAGCAGAAGGCATTTTTGGTTTAAACTTACAGATAAAGACCTGATTTATACTCTTAAATAATTTTCAAGTTGAATATGAAATGAAGCCAACAAAAATATAAGCTGTCAACTCCTGCAAAAGGAAATATAACATTTGCCGTCAAAGAATCTCTTACGTTTAAAACTTTATTTGTATATCGGCTCTCCACTACAGCTGCATAAACAAGACTAGCTCTCTTTGTCCTCCCAAGCAGCAGGGGGCAGCATAGGAAAACCGAGGCGGGGGTAGAGACAGACCTGATTGCCGGTGGCTGTGTCACTGCACATCAACAAGAGCTCTGCAATGCCCAGAGCTGCAATCAGATTCTTGTGAACAGTGGTACGGTCTGATTTGGGTACCCTGTAGTTTGAGGAGAAATTAAAGCAGGGAGAAAAGGTTCATCATTGTTTGCCAGCCACCATTACAGTTTTTTCCAATTATTTTCACACTTGTCTCAATACCATGTACACTTTTTCAAAACACTTCACACCGTGAACTTTACAAACATGCACCCGATCATGTCAGTTAACTTTCAGTGCAAAATGCACTAAAACCACCAAAACACTTCACACTTCACCCAAAAGTGACACACGCTGCCAAACCTATAGCACACACTCTCTCACAAGACGACCTTGTCACACAAAGTACAATGCATGAAAAAACACTAACAACTTGAAACGCTGCAAAATGCTTATATATGATGTGTTGTTGTATCCTATATTTTCACACGTCCTCCACATGGATGTCCTCCACATGGATGTCCTCCACATGGATGTCCTCCACATGGATGTCCTCCACATGGATGTCCACACACCCAGCAGCCATTGCATCTAAAAGCGACATCTGATCATGTGGCCGATGGTCATATACCTTCCATCCCCATGCAGAAAAAAATTCTTCAATGAGGTTGAGGAAAGGCGAGTATGGTGGCAAGAATAATGACATCACCCTGGGATGAGCAATAAACCACTCTGTGACTTGGCGGGAGTGATGAAAGGGGTCACATTGTCCCACACAATCACAAATACTGGTAAATTCTTCCTCTCCCTCCTGTGGGAGGTAAATGCTAAATCCTACAGTAGTGGGTTACAGTAAAGACAAACGTGCATCGATGCGTCAGTTTTTTTCCCAGAGACTGTCCTCAAATCACACCACTACAGAAATATAAACATCAATCAAATGCCTTCAGTCAGAATGCTCTAAATAGTGTATAGTATCTGTTGCTTTGCCTGAAATTCCTGACAATTGATGTCACTGTGGATCTAGGCAGGTGGGGCTGAACTCTTAGACCCGCTTTCCTCAGGGACAGACCATGAGTTACAACATGGTCAATTACTTTGGCTCTGATTTCATCAGTAAACATGGTTCTTCCTCTTCCTCTCCATTGATGTCTTCTTGCTCTTCCTCTGCCTCCTGCGGCATCCATTTTTCACTAACTAAAGAAAAATGGCAATGGAAAATGCCAATCCAAAGATGGCCCCTTTTGTACATATGGCAAGTTGGCACTAATTACACAAATTCCTACTGTAGGTAGGTGCTTAGCTGAAATTACAGACAGGTGTGTGTTTTCATTCAGCTTTCCAGCTTCAAGCATTGTAAAATGCTTGGCGGTGATCTAGGGGGATGGTGGTGGTCTAGTAGTTAGGGATCTGGCTGGGCTCCCATTAGGAACAACGGAAGGTTGTGAGTTCACTCCCAGGAGGTGCCACCATTGTGCCCCTGAGCAAGGCCCTTGACCCCAACTTGCTCCAGGGGGACTGTCCCTGTAGATATAGTACTTCACTGTAAGTAGCTTTGGATAAAAGTGCCTGCTAAATGAATATATATAAATGTTTCACTGTAATATATGTGTTGCCATACCGAGTGTTTTTGCACAGAATACAAAAGGAAAAGGACACTCCATGACCTCATTTGTATAAATAGTAACAAAGCAGCAAACAAAAACAAAAATACGAAATTTCCGCTGAAAGCATAATTATTTGTGTTAGTGCAAGTGCATAGTGTCCTTTGTCTGTCAAAATGCAGCATATTTCAATTGACAGTGCTCTAAATTTCATTAGGGTTTTGACCTGAAAGTTAACTGTTTTGAACAGATTATCTAAACATCTGAAAAATCGGCTGTAGTTGTACAAAGTTTTGCTGGTGTTGAACACTGACTGAGAGAAGTATTCATGAAATTTGGGGGAAGTGGTGATTGAATGCATATTGTGTCAAAGCAATGCAAAAGTTTACATAGTTTAGCTCACATGGTCCAAAGGTATGGTGCATGTGTTTAGTGTTTTTTGAAAAAGTGAACATGGTATTGAGATAAGCGTTAAAACGATTGGAAAAAACTGTAAATATAAGCACATCATTTACACTTAGAGTCTACAGCAGTGGTCGCCAATACATCGACCTTGAGCTAATCTGCAGGGCGCCAAACAGTATGTTTCACAACACGCATTAGGTATTGGATAAGTTTTTAAAAATGTGTATTTTGTGTATTCACTAGGATGAACACCATACTGTCATGGTATGCTGAACAGTGCACATGAAAGGAGAATTAATTTAACTACTGGCAGCCCCCCCCCCCACCTCAAGATTACATATTTAACCATTGCAACCCCCCCATTACAATCTTATATTAAACACATAGCTTCCCAGATTCTTTGTAAAAAGTAGATTTCACTAGTAGATCTCACTACTGGAAACCCCAACCTACAGTCTGAATTTGCTCTCAGCTTCAATATGACCTTAACAGCACACAGTCATAAATAGAGTATCCAGGACACAAAATATCAGATGAAGGGAGATGCTGTAAATGACATACAACACTGTCCTCACCCCACAACGATGAAGAGGATGAAGGTGAAGGTCAGGCAACACAGTGACACTCCACAGCCAATGAAAGTCAGCATCTGCATTGAAATTTCACTCTCTGGGCTCCTCTGTAACAAACAAGAATCGGAGTGGGGGGAGGGACTTCATTGAATGGCGCTAAATCCCGCTAAAGCTGAGCCAACACACAGCATAAGCCTAAGAACTATATGTTAACAATTTGTCTAAATGCTAACTGGCCCGGGACGCTAAGACTATATCTTGATGCTAACTGCACGTGGATGCTAACACCAGAGGAGAGGAATGTACCTGGACCTCGTAGACCTGCAGCAACAGAGCGAAGTTGGTGGTGTGGTTGCAGTAACAGGAAGTAGAGTCAGGCCACGTGTGTATGACATGGCAGCCTCTGGTGGACCAGCCACCACCGGCTTCAGGCCTGAAGGACAGCAAAGCCAGGAAAGCTGAGGATCTGCCGCATGACACTCAGCCTTGCGCACCACTCAGTAGATATGATCATCTCAGTAACCCTCCACAGTGAATGTCACTTGTACCAGGATGCTGCAGGTTACAATTTAAACTCCTACACAGCATCTCTGCTGTATAATATAAGTGTATATTTAGTTTTTCAAATGCACATCTCAGTACTGTACAAGGTTTGATTCAGCCTTTTAAGTCTTTTAGCACTTAATTGTCCCTGATAAACAGTGTTGTAATTTTGCGCTGAAAGAGATTAAGTGTCTGGGTGAAGAACGGCTGAATGCAGCTGATCTGTTAGGCTGGAGGATGGAGGACAAGGTGTTATATAACTGTGATGTATGTCTCAAATTAACAGCGGTCTACATGAAAGCTTCCTGGACCCCCTCCTGCTCCAAATTAACAGCGGTCTACATGAAAGCTTCCTGGACCCCCTCCTGCCCCAGACAGACTACGTCTGAGAATCACCTGTGGATCCCTTATTCACAGAGCCCAACATAACCACACCTGTGGTTACGGCAAACAGCAAGATTCAGGCATCCTGAGCGCAATTCTTAAGCGGACATTTTATTTTAGTGACTCTGTGAAGTTGCGGTAGTTGAAACTCAAGTTGTCACAGTTCATAACAGACATTAAAACCACTAAAAAGACGGGCATTTAAAAAGTAAACGGCCCTCGATGAAACTGCTACATCAGTATGCAGTTCGGGCCGAGATTAAGAGGGAAAAAGCTACTCACATGAGATTAAAATCCCAGAATGCACATACGGGATCATATTCTGTCCCTGGGAGATTCTGGGAAAATGAAATCAGAAAATGACATCAAAGCTGCCAATTGATGAGTCAGTGTTCAAATCAAACCATAAACTGATAGTTTTGCTAAAGTGTTAATAATTTAGTTCCTACAAAGCTTCCAATTTCAGCAGTAGTTATACTACCGCTGTTCATGTGTGTTTCTCAGTCTGTCTACTTGACCGTACTTGTGTTCTCATCTACCCGTTTTACGTCATCTTCCATTGGCAATGACCAGTTCCAAGACTAAGAACAGAAGTACGGAGGACGGTAAAAATCCCCGGATGTCGTTCTTGCCCCAAATATCAAGGATACTTCAGTTGCATCCTCACAAAACTAGACCAATCCCATGATTCATTGCACCCCAAGTTTATCCTCGGGAGTCACGGAGTCACGGAGATTGGCTTAGCCAAGACCACAAGTACGATCTTTGCGTTCTTGTTATTGAGAAACGCCTCATATCATCGAAAGCTATGGGGACTCAGCGATGGTGACGTCAGCATCATGCTGGGCTCACCTGGTGCCTGTGCTGCAGGTGGAAACGTACGGCGGTGCTGATTCGCCGGCCCTGACCCAGCACCATGCTGGAGATGACAGAGGAGCCCAGGACTGCACCAATGTACCTGCAGAGACATTGAGGAACAGAAGTTGGTCAACCCCCATCCTACTCAAACTAACATCCATCCATCCATTCATTATCTGCTGCTTATCCGGGGTCCCACATCCAAATCTTTATCTCAACTGACCTCTGTATATCGAAAAACAAAGCATGTAGCCACACCATGAAGCTCCAGGTTGAGGGAAGGTTATACCACAGTGGATAAGGACCTAGGTTCCTGAACAAAATATCATCCGTAATCCCATCCCTGTTGGTGAACTCCCAGGTGACTATTAAAGAGTAAAGTATACTCCAGTATATTTGACTATGTGTAAAACTGTGAAGTATGTACATTATTTTGAACAGCAGTGCCTACACAATAGTAACAACAGAAAACCCAAAACTTACTTCTGAGTACCGTCGCTAACAGCAGGAAGGAGGTTGATGTTGCCTTCAACCGGAAAAAGGCTGGTGTTCCCATCTCTAGTGAAAAATGGATGAAGTGAGCCGTACCAGGTGTTCATCAGGGTGATCTTCTGGAAACCTGTGCATTGGCATCAAATGTGGGATGAGTGAAATAATACCTATTGAGTCTGCATGGCTGAGTCACACTGTTTATGTGCTAAAGCTTCCATACCATTGCTGTGTAGCGTCTTCATAATCTGGGATGGGACCTCGATGCAATCCAGGCGGGACTTGTTCTCTGCAGCTGGCCTGCAGAAGTCACGATTGCTTGTGTCTGTTTCCAGGCTCCTCTGCTGGACCTCCAGCTCTGAGGAGAAGGAACAGAGAAACCAGATAGAGCCTGGTACACTATTTGGTTTTGAGACTTCTTTAGGAACCAGACCATGAAGTGTCATCTTGCCTATCACTAGCTGTTGATTCTGTATTTAGGACATCAGTAAGGAGCCAATGAAGAATGAGAGACGCTGTGAACAGCTGTTACAACAGCAGCAAGGTTTCTTGGGGTAATTTATCATGTTCTATGAATCTTTATTGCTTATTTAAGAAACTGAAAAAAAATCTGATTATTAATTGCTTTAAATAAAAAACAATTAATGATCTCCATGAATAATGTACATTTGGGAATTGTCTGTACTGAGGCAAAATGTGAAGGGATATGCCAACACTGTATTAAATGCCATTTTAAGGGGAGGGGGGAGGAGTCGGGGCCACTCACTGATGTTGTCACCGTTAATGAGAAGGTCATCATCCTCGTCCACTAGCAGGCTCTCGAGGTTAGTCACCAAGTGATCAATGCTTCTGACCACTGCCATGGGTCCACTCACAACCTGCAGTAAGGGAGCAGACACAAGGGGGCGCAATGAGCAGCGCATCCCATACCGCCACCTGCATCAGAGGAGACCCTGATGGGATCAGCAAAGTGAGGGTCAAAGCAACACTGATTCTGAGTGTGAAAACGCTAACGGGCCGTTTGCGTGCTGGAGTCTCGGGAAGCTGCCCTCAGAGACACTGAAACGTGCCGCTTGGTATTAATACTTTTTATTGCATTTTCTGAATCCTGCTTCCAAATATTTTTGTTTGTACTCTTTGGCTGGCTTGTTCTTCTGAGAATAAACAATTAAATGGAAATAAATTATTCTTTCCTCCACATAAACACAGTCCGTGTTAATGTCAAGGTGACTAGCTCTGTTATAATCTTGCTCTGTTCCTCTTTTCTGCAAGTTATTTGTTGCATTGAACATGACAAAAGAAAGCTGCCTTTGGTATTTACTTTGTCCTGAAGCTGTCTTAATCCTTGAGAAAATCTCAAAGTTTTGTATTGTGGGATAAACTTTTGCTTCATGAGTGACAGTACTTTAGTGTTCCTTCACTTTTACTGCCCTCTGGTGGTCAAATACATGCCACAGTACCTCCTTGACAGCCTCCCAGCCAGGCACGTTTTCTTGGTCAATCATCCTGTCAGCCACAGCCAGGAAGCTACGGCTGAAAGCGGCCGCTTCCTTCCGGCTTTGGTTGCCCCCATTGACGACGTCAGCTGTGCGGCGTAACAGCTGGATCAGCGAAAGCATGTCGAAGGGCTCCAGCCCCCCCGGGCTTTCCTGCAGTGCCTTCTGGGAAACGTCCAGCACCCTGGAGCTCTGCTCCCAGCCAAGGCGTGTCTCGTCGGGAAATAACCCCTCCCCCGCCAGTACCCAAGGAGAAAGTAATTTGAGATAGGGAACAAAACAACAGTTTATCGTGGATTGTAATGTGACATAAAATATTACACCAGTCAAAAATTTTTGTACACTATAGGTTTTTACCACTTTCCCATTTATTTCATAAACTGCAGATTTTTTATTCTTGTTAAGCATTGGAAAGTTGAGTGAACAACTATGAACGAAAGTATAAGTCAAATAAAACAAGTTTCCTTTATAACATGGAAAGAGTATGTAAGAGTGCGTGTCTGACATCCTATTAGCTGGTTGTGTGGTGATGGCAGTTAAATTCTAGGCTGTCCTTTAACTTTAAACGCAATAGTTAACTGTTTCATGGGATGAAACGGAGCAGAATTTAATGTCCCTTGTAGAAAGAATGATTCGAATTAGCTCTGCTGTTATAACTGCTAGAGGAGGTTACTTTGATGAATCAAAGATATGGCATTTTCCTCCGAATAAAGGTAATCAGATGCTGAACATACTGTAAATTTGTTAGCAAAGAAGACTGAGTGTATTTTTGTTACATGTTATGCAAGTAACGTGCAAATGTAGAAAATTTCAGTATATGCAAAAACTTTTGACTGTGTAAATATGAATACAAATCATTGTCATCCTTCTTGCTGTTATGAGTGGTATTGAAATCGGATGCTGCTGATGGAGAGGCACGCCCCTACCAGGCTTTGGTTGGACAGCCGCATCAGCTGGGACAGGAAGGGGCTGGGCCCCCCCTCACGGGAGTCCCTCAGCTCTTTGATCTTCTGCATCCGCTCTGCAACAGAATTTGGACCAATCAGCACAGAGCACACAACCCAGCCTTGAGTCGCTGCCTCTCTCTTTGGCCCAATGTAGCGCTTCACCACGCGTTCTGTTAAAAGGTCACGGGGGCAGTGAGGAGTGAGGGAAGCCATCCCTGTCACCGGCCGGCCGCCTTCATGAGCCCAGCAGATTCAGTTCTGTTCTTAGTTATGCCGAAACCATAATGGTGTGACTCAGTGGTTCAAGCACTGATTAGTGGGCCCTTCATTTACACATCTAGCAGGTGCTTCTCAGCGATGTACATTTTTGAGACAGCGAGGGTCAGCCCCGGAAATCCCTGGGGCAATCGGGGGAGTTTAAGGGCCTTGTTCAGGGGCCTGACAGTGAAATAGTTCTGACCACAGGATTTGAACCAGCAACCTTATGAGCACAGGCACAGAGTCCTAACCTGCTGAGCCACACGCATGCCTCACTAGAGGGCACTAGTGGGTCTGCTCACCTTGGCTGGTCACACAGACGAAGGGCAGTGTCTGCAAGCAAGGGACAGTGGTGAAATGCGGGGTCTCCTTGGGCGAGCGGCCGTCTAGGACTCGGCAACCTGGAGTCTGGCTGGATATCCGGCCTGTAGGGGGCAGCATAGCCATGAACTGTGAGACACAGCACTTAGCAAGTGCGAAGTACAGGATTAGAGAAATGTCTGTAAGCACAGTTGCTGATCCACCTGCTTAAAATAACCTTTGTATGGAAGAGTACACAGACCTGGATTAAAAACAAGGGCGTTAGCATTCACAGCACTGATCACTGCTGGGCGTTATTTAAGGAAGTGATTCTTCAGGTCCAAACAGCATGAAAAAACATAACACCTTCTAGTCTGAAGTGCTGAACACAGTCCAGACTGTCACAATAACCGTAGAGATAGGAGTGAATGATGCTAACGAAGCCTATTTGAAGCATCACTTCCTGATTGATTCCTCCATGAATGCACTGGGAATCTCCATGAAAGAAAACACAGCTAAGAATAGGTTTTCTTTCTTTGCAGTAACTGGTAAACTGGTTTTCTCACAGGGAGCCTTAGGGCGATGCAGGATGAGACTGACAGCGACGTATGCCTGTACACAGGCTTCACAGTCCCTCAGAACGTCCCCTGACTGGATGGTTTTCCTCAGTAAACGCTGGACACTATAGTGTGTGAAGATCCTGACATCGTGGCTGTTTCTGGGACGCTGGAGTCCCTGTGTACAAAGACCCTTCGATCAGGCATGTCTGTCGTTCTGGGGCAGAGTCACACAGGAACTGCACCATGTCGGCGCGCAGTATGGGCTAAGATGCGGCCGCGTGATTCTCTCTTTGGGGGGGCAGTCTGACTGTGTTCATGAGCTGCTGTTCCTAATAATGAGTGTATTTCAAAGGGGCAGTACACCCCAAAACTGAAAAATATATGTTTATCCTAAAACAAATGAACCTGCTCCCTCCCAAGGGGTGTGGTGATGGATGATCTGCTTAACCCTCCCACCCCCCCACCATCCTGCAGAACACCCATGAAAATCTTTGGCCTGCCCACCAGAGATGTTCTGTTCGGTGGATGGATGCAGAACTAGACGTGCTGGCCACTCCCAGCCCCCCCCCCCCACCCACCCCCCCCCCCACTTATGGAGCAAGCGTGTCAACAGCAGCGCTAAAAACGCTTGGGGCCGGATACTAGCCTGTCAGAACTCTTCCCTGTGATCTGAGGCTCTGGGGCTGGTGGGGGGGGGGGCGATATCTTCATGTGGCTTTGAGGGCCGGCGACAGCCAGGCCCCCCCGATCACAGCCCTGCAGCCAATACCATTATGGCTAACGAGCTCTACGCCAGACCTGCAACAGTGCTAGTGACCTCCCCGCTTGGAAGTTCCCGGGCATGCCACCCGCATGAGTGGGCCCCCCTGTCAGGCCCTGCCATGACCCCTCCGAATGCCCTCTGGCATGATAGTTATGCAGCTGGGGAGGGGTTAATGCCTCCGTGTGAGGTCAACCAGAATGACTCGGCTGCCAAATGACCCGAACGAGAACAATGGCGACGACCCTAACCTTAACCTTCGCGGTTACCTCTCCACTCAGTCCGGGCTTATTCTGGAGCAGAAACCCAAGGAGTCAGAGGTTAGTGTGAAAGAGTCTGAGTGTAAACAGCATTTCGGCATAATGTGATTTGATTCCCTGGTAATGGACCACAATGGATACTGAAACTATGACTTTAGGACTGTAAACTGTGTGGGGATAAAGGAAAACTAAAGGAAAACAATATCTAGTACCCTGTGATAGACTGGCACCCCTTCCAGGGTGTACCCCTACCTCGTGCCCTGCGATGGACTGGCACCCTGTCTAGTGTGTACCACTGCCTTGTCCCCTGTGCGTCCTGCAATAAGCTCCAGGCCCCACTGGAGTGGTTGGAAGATAAATGGATGGACGGAAATACCTATTCGAACTACTCATGTCTGGCAACAGACCACATAGCCTTTTCCTGATTCATTCAGTCAAAAAAAAAGTCTAACTGAAGATCTCTGTCCTTATTAGACATAGTGAGTGAGCCTCCATCTTTCATCTTGGAGACCTTGTACCCACCTGGCCGCCGTCTCTATAACCACATGTCACATATTTGATAAATACAATACAATGAGTGCAAAGGGCTTTAATGTAAACCCAACAAACCTAACATCATGTGTTCCTGCTAGCTGTTGAACGTGGCAGAATTGTTTGGGTATGAGCAGTCCATCCATCCATCCATCCATCCATTCATCCACATGCTGTCTCAGACACATACATATATTGCTAAATTATAATAACCTAATAAAAAACTATAGCTAGTGCTACCTCAAACATCAAAAACAGATTAAAACACTGAGAAGCAGCTTGATGACCTAAAGAGTGGTTACCGAAACAGCGGTTTAAGGTTTTCTAATTTTGTAAGAATACTTTTCCCCAGGGTCTCAAGGGACTCTGGGGACACGTCCCCTGGAGTGCTGCCTCCCCTGTCATTCATGAATTCAATGTATCATTGGCTAATAATGAGGTTGTCCCATCTGTATGAATTATTATGCCCCCCTTAAGCCTACAAATCGCCCCTGCTAAATTTGTCCCCCTTCCCCTACATGTGCAGACATACCTGGGCACAGTACGCTAGCCTGGACCTGGCTTACGTCAGGGTGCACGATCACGTTGGCGACGTCCCAGGTGAAGAGCGACGCGTGACCAATCGTGCCACAGGCGTTCAACGCCTGCACCTGCCACTCCTCCAGTGCCACATTCCACACGCTCAGCTCTGTCAAGTTCCCCACGAAGGGCTCGCTGAAGTTCCCGCCAAATGAGTCCTGGTCCTGGCCGAGCACGAAGATGCCAGCGCCGTGGAGATCGCGGGGCACATCCCGCGGCACGTCACCAGCCTTGTCTGCGTCGCCCCTCTCGCCGTCCACATGCACAGCCCACAGGCTGTCAGCCCTGCGCCATGCCACGCAAACGTGATGCCAGGCCCCATCGTTGGCGAAGGAGGCCCGGAAAGGTCCGTGCTTCCCTTGGACGATGAGGGCCAGCAGAACTCGGCCGGTACTGTCCGGTCGACCACGCAGCAGCAGCTCATTGGTAAAGACCGGAGCCGCATAGGAGAAGACCGTGGCCAATGCCGTGTGCCGCTGGTCCCACTGAAGCCTCACGCACACGCTCACCTCCCCCAGTGCTGGGAATGGGACCCGCAGTTGAGCGTGGGCCTGCGCAGACTCCAGGGGGAAGCTCAGAGCCTGTACAGTCACACCTATGGAGAACAGAGAGACAATTTGGACCATGTGACTGAGCTTGTATGGTTGGTTACGAGGTGTAGGACACCTCACTCCACTTCCTCTCTGAAGCCCAATTGTATGTGTAACATATCCACTCGCCTTGAGGCTGAATTAACAAGGACGGTCTGGGACTGACCTTCAGAAAAGCCACAAACGTGGAAGGCAGTCTCACAGTGTCTGGAAAACAAGCTGACACTGACTGGACAGAGTGGGCATTGCATAGGTCCTGACTGGACAGAAGCACCTTCAAAGGTACTAACTGAAAAGCCAACTGAACCATTAACCCAACTGCTAAGTGAACCACTAACTTAGACACGATAAGCAACACCAATGTTCCCAGAGCGTCTCCGGTCGAGCAGAACCAGAAACATCGAGGCTGACATACTCACGCTGCTCGGACGGAACCAGCGTGTCCCTGCCGCTTGTACTGGGGTCGATGGCCCACACCGTCACTCTCAGCTCAGCAGCTCTCAGCAGCTGCAAGACGCCGTCCATCATGTCCCGGCGCCCCTCCGTGGGCAGGGTGCCAAAGTGTGCTGAGCAGAAACGCTTTGCGTGTCCAAAGTCCAGTGAGGTGTTAAACAGCCTGAACACCATCTCTGAGTGGTGGAGCTGGACTTGGGGTTTCTTCATGGTGGTTGCTAAATGAGAAGAAACCAATGATGTTTAACTCATGTCCACGACTCTGGACGTGTACAAGTCCTCGGTCATCCTGCTGGACTAGGAGAGCCCCAGGGTGACTCACTATCTCAGCCGTAACTGGAGGTGTTGTAGGTTTATACGCCCTGTATTTAAGGAACTAGACATCGCATGTTTGATGATTCTAGTGCACAAGAAAAAAACAGCGGAACTAAGCTGGAAGTAATTCATCAAATATCCAATTGAACTACATAAGGGAATATTTTCTGCTATGGGGGTGACTTGAAGCCTCTGTGTTCAGGGGTGACTCGTAGCCTCTGTGTTCAGGGGTGACTCGTAGCCTCTGTGTTCAAGGGTTAAAGGAGCCTTGGGACCATTCCTAAGCTCACCAGCAGAGTCCTGTCTTCTCGTATCAGCCCAGGACTGCGTGACCTTGCATTGTCCCAATACCTTCAGGACAAGCGTCAAAATAGAAAATAGGGTTTAAAAAGCGACATTAGCTCAATGGTGATGCCACAAGAGGAGGACAGACATCTGTCATAGTTAATGTTTATTTACGAATCCTCTATTAGAAAACATTTTACATGGCTAATAAAATCTGAAAAATGTACCTTAAACAAGAGGTGATTTAGAATCACAGAAACATAGACATTCACTCTCTCGAATGTGGAATACGTTACCAGAAGATGAACACCAAGACACTTACTCTCTAGGATGTGGAATACGTTACCGGCAAGATGAACACCAAGACACTCACTCTCTCGGATGTGGAATACGTTACCGGCAAGATGAACACCAAGATGGCCGCTTTCAGTAAAACTCCCATTGGGCTGACGTCTGGCCAACTCCTATCGATTCCTTTGTTCTTCCCCATAAGTGCGTTTTAAGGTCTTTCATTACTGAGGACAGAAGTGGACTAACATCAGATATGTCCCTCTTGAACCTCCTGATCGCATTCATAATCATACAGCACTCACAGAATGTCTTGCTTAATTCAGTAAAAGTATTTATTGTTTTTATGACAAAATCATTACTTTATTCTTTTGTTTACAAAAATATACAACATCAGAAACAATCTGTAGTTTCAAATAGTAATAAATTCAAACCCAAATTATAGTTCTAAAAGAGCTGTATAGAGTTCAAAATTTCATTGACACACAGTCTCATCAGGTGCTTTTTAATTAGTAACACCTTTGCAATAACATAAAACACCAAAGATTTGTGTTTAGTATCACTTTGGGAGCCAGTGACTATAATTGCAATTATCAGCAAAATGGCAAGAACAGAATTGAATGAGTCAGTCAAAAAATTATGACACTTACTAAAAAGAAAATGTCTGTGCAGGAGATATGTGCAGATACGTTAAATGTTGCTTGTCAACAGATTTTTGTTATGAAACAATAAATGTGCAACATTGTTACAGAATTAAGCATGCATCCTCAGCCTTCCTGTGAACGTTGTATTTTACCTTTCCAGAAAACCCATCAATCTAACATTTATGATATTTTTGTAACAGGGTTGCTATCCATTGCAAGATGAAGTGTTTCACATGTAATTGTGCAAAATAATACAACCTTTGTGAAACACAACACCATTAAGAAATTAATCGCAGTAAGCAGTTGGTGATCGATGATACTATTGTGTCACACTATGCGCACAGTCACTGTCAACCCCACAGAGATCCCACAGTAAGAGACAGAAGAATCACTGGACATTTACACGAAAAGAGCCAGTCTACATTCACAAGCTGGAACAAGCTTCAATGCCACAGAAGAGACAGACATGGTCCCTGCTCAGTTCAACAGAGAGGAAGATCAGTCACTCTGCAGTCCAGCAGAAGAAAATAAAAACACTTACTCTTCAGTGCCACAGGAAAGACAGTCCCTGACAGAGCTCCAGCGCTGGACCCCAAAGCGATGCTAGTTCTCAGCCTGGTTTCTGCCCCAGCCCAGATTGCCTTCTTCCCCAGCTACATCACTCCGCTCCTGGGGAGCCCTTTTCCGGCACGGCGGAGGTGGCCGCTGCCCCATGCTTAATCTTCATCCCGTTTTTGTGCCCTGCCTGCCGGGTCCCTGATTCACTGCTTCGCTTTGTCATGCTAATGACGCTGTTTTCCCCTTTGAGTTCTCCTTGCGTAAGCAGAGCCGGGACATGGTGCTATGCAGAGTTCATTGGCGTTTCTCCGTTTCTCTTTGCCTGGTGGAACTTTAAGAAACAGAAGGCAAACCCACCATTCTATCTACAGAAGCCAATCTCTCTCAGTCAAAGTGCAGCCTTTTGGTCACAAGCCAGGGCAGAGCAGTTCAGACAGAGAGCATTAAATGCGATGTATTCAACACAAACTCCTTTACGTCGCTCCAGATACGGCACTCGGATGCACTGCAAGGAAAACATGCGATTCTGTGTTTGACATGACGATCTGATAACCAACACTGATGCCAAAATGTATGGCATTGATCTTCTGGGCAAAATCACACAACCTGCCAACTATGTGAGTCAAGGACTCAAGAAAGAGGAGCAAGTGAGGTTTGTGGGAGCAGCTTTTCTTCAAAGAGAATCACAAGAGTCTATACTGCACACCTTAATGCTGATGAGATCCAACAAAACATCAATCATCACTTAATTTAAGCCGCATTTCTTGTCTGCACACACGTGCTCTGTGTCCTATGACTTTGCACTTACTACCTCATTTAAGCAGAGGTACCCACATTAGCAAAGGCATATAAATATATAATGACTTTGTACTACCTAATTTAAGCAGCAATTGCTCTAGATATCATCACAACATTACTCTGCACTACCTCATTTAAGCAGATGTTACACTACATTCCATTACTCTGCACTGCGTCATTTAAGCAGACTTCACACTACATGGTTCGAGTTACTCTGTCAGGGTGTGTGAGTGAATGATGTGTGAGTGAATGACGTGTGAGTGAATGGATGGGAGTGAATGGGTTGTGAGTAAATGGCGTGTAAGTGAGTGGTGTGTGAGTGAAGGGTGTGTGAGTGAATGGAGTGTGAGTGAGTGGTGTGTGAGTGAAGGGTGTGTGAGTGAATGGAGTGTGAGTGAATGATGTGTGAGTGAATGGTGTGTGAGTGAGTGGTGTGTGAGTGAAGGGTGTGTGAGTGAATGGAGTGTGAGTGAATGATGTGTGAGTGAATGGAGTGTGAGTGAGTGGTGTGTGAGTGAATGGCGTGTGAGTGAGTGGTGTGTGAGTGAAGGGTGTGTGAGTGAATGGAGTGTGAGTGAGTGGCGTGTGAATGAATGGCGTGTGAGTGAGTGGCGTGTGAATGAATGGCGTGTGAGTGAGTGGCGTGTGAATGAATGGCGTGTGAGTGAGTGGCGTGTGAATGAATGTGTGTGAGTGAGTGGCGTGTGAATGAATGTGTGTGAGTGAGTGGCGTGTGAATGAATGGCGTGTGAGTGAATGACGTGTGAGTGAATGGATGGCAGTGAATGGAATGTGAGTAAATGGCGTGTGAGTGAGTGGTGTGTGAGTGAATGGATGGGTGAGTGAATGGAGTGTGAGTGAATGGCGTGTGAGTGAGTGGCGTGTGAATGAATGGCGTATGAGTTAATGATGTGTGAATGTGCCCTGTGATGGGTTGGTGCCCCATCCTAAGTTGCTCTCTGCCTTACACCTATAGCCTCTGGGATAGGCTCTGGACCCCCAGCGACCCTGAACAGTATCAACGGTTTCAGAAAATGGATGGACGGGCTATTAATCTGTACAACCTCATTTATGCTGCATTTACTTAAGTTAGGCAGTATTTACTTTACTGCTGCACTACTCTTGAGAGATGACAGTTTGGCCTCTCTGGAAGCATGTAGCTTCTCAGTGACAGCCAAGAGGACAGTCTCTGTGGAATGTGGTGCTTTGACACCAGATTGGTTAGGATCATGAAGGTTGTTTTGAGTGAAGTAGAGAGACAGCTTGAGGGCGTCTTCTCCTTTTTGTGGGAGAGCAGTCGTTGGACGTCAGAGAGAAGGAATAGAGAAGAGAGAGAAGGCAGTAAGAATGTAGCTTATCAAGGGGGAGGTTGAAGTCTCCAATGAGAGTGAGAGGGGGGTCAGTAGGGAAGAGACTGAGTGTGTATCCAGTGACCTAGGGGAAGAGGAGAGTGGTAGATGACAGTGATGAGAATATCGGAGAGGACACTGCAACTGCACAGAATTCAAAGGAAAAGATGTTGAGATGGGACAGAGGGAGGGGTGGGTAGCACCAGTGTACACAATTGTCTATAGCACTATCTGTCTGCTTGCCGCTGCACCAACATTCTTGGATCTCATCTCCTCTCCTTTCACATGCCATTACTCTGCGCTACATCATGTCAGCAGCATTTGTGTTCTGTGGCTTGGTTGGTTGGTGGTGCTGTGCCTGTCTGTGAGCAGAAGGTCACCAGTTCAAATCCTGTAGCCAGTAGTTCACCTCAGAGCCTCCGAGTCTGGCCCTAAACCACCAATTACTCCATGGACTGACAGACCTTGCTGTCTGAAATGTATGTCGCTTTGCATTAAAGCTTCTGCAAAATAAGTAAATATAAAGGTTTACTCTACATATCATTACGCTGTAGCATTTGTCATTACTGTACGCTACTTCAAATAAGCAGCATTTACTCTGCTTACCATAACTGTACATTAACACATTTAAGCAGTATTTTTTAGGTTCTCATATTATGACAAACCAGTGAATTGCTCCGGAATTCCTTGCGAGGAAACTTACTGACCTTGGCTCAATTTCGGCACAGCAACCCTCCCATAATTCTTTGGCAACAAAGAAGCACAATGCTGACCGCGAGGAATGCCTCAGCGTCTAATGAGGGGGAATCTGCTGTCCTCAGCCAGCCAGCGGCGGTCGGGGCTCAGGATGTGGCCTCACTGTGGAGTTTATGGGCTGCCGTTGCTGTGTCAGTGATGCGCACCACATCCCCCCCCCCCATCTGAATGCCCCCCAGTAGCCTTCAGCCACAGATTGGGCTGTACAGCTTGGCCCAGGACTCAAATGACTGCCACACCCACCTTCATAGTCATGAAACACAGAAATACATTCAATCATAGTCAAGGGTAACACTTTACTTGAAGCTCTATAATGCACTATGGATACCTTTGTAATGCATTATAATGGTCGGTATAAGAATTAATAAAGCATAACAGCATCTTCTATTGTCATAAGGCATTAAATTGTTTTTTATAACAATATAAGAATTAATGATGCTTTGTATTGCATTATGAAGGTATCTATAGTGCATTACAGAGGAGAGCTTCATAATGCATAATAAACATGGCTATAATGTGTTTTGCTTTTTTTGTTAAATATTTATAGCCATTTTTGGATATATGAATGCATTATAACATGTTATTTGTTTATAGATTGTTATAGACATGGCATTCATAGAAAGTGTTGCCGAGACATTTATAAACAACAATAATGGTCCCTGTCCCTGTGTCAGAGTGAGTGCCGGTCGAAGCCCATGTGGTGAAGAGAGGAATTACAGCATCTGTACTCATACTTGTACAAATTGCAAAGGAAGGATTTATCATTAAGGTAAAACATTCTTTGCCTTCACCTCCCTCTCTGTTTGTCTCTCTCTCTCTCCTGCAGCTGGAGGTCATACCCTGACATGGCCAAGTCCTGTGTCACCCTGTCGTGGACACCAGCCTGAACATGCCTAAACACTCCAACACTCAAAATGTTACCTGCAAGAACCACCCCAAACGTGCCCCCCCACCAGATAAATTCAGAAAGAAAAGATTCTCTATGGATTCTCCAGCTGTGTACAACTGAATGCCCCTGACTCTGAAAACCCCCGCAGTCAGCTAGAAAAACAAGTTTCCCATAATGCAGTTTGCAGTATGTCTACAATAAGCACTATGATGATATTTTTGTCCACAGAGCAATCTCAGTCACCATACCTTAAAAAGGACATTGCTGCCTTTGATGCAACGTAGGGCTACAAGAATGATTCCTGGTCTTAGGGGAATGTCTTATGAGGAGAGGTTAGCTGAGCTGAATCTGTTCGGCCTCGAGCAAAGGAGACTAAGGGGGGACATGATCCAGGTATATAAGATTCTTACAGGTCTGGATGCTGTTCAACCAAATGACTATTTCAATATTAGTCTAAATACTAGAACTCGTGGCCATAGGTGGAAATTAGCAGGAAAACATTTAAAAATGAATTTGAGAAAGCACTTCTTTACATAGTGTGTAGTTAGAGATTGTCTTCTTGCTAGTGTAGTGCAAGCTAAAACCCTGGGTTCCTTTAAATCAGAGCTAGATAAGATTTTAACAACTCTGAACTATTAGTTGAGTTCTCCCCAAACGAGCTTGATGGGCCGAATGGCCTCCTCTTGTTTGTAAATTTCTTATGTTCTTACGACACACACAAGTCATTAGTCAGTCATGTTCCCAGTCAGGAAATTTCTGAACCTTCAGACACCCTTTGCAGCCCTTAGCAGGTGTCAAGGGGCTTCTGAGAGGCAAGTCATCTGCTAGTATATTGCTCTTAATGTACATTTATCTAAAGCAGTTCATGACTCTTATGACTTTACTTTTCCATATTAATTAACTGCGAAATTCTTATCATAATAAGAATAAGAAGAATAACAGCCAAGGTGGCTCTCTGAATTTGAACCTACTTTTTAGATACAAACTAAGCCACTAGATCTTAGCCACTATACTATGTGCTAAGCTGGTATTCCAGGCATCGCACTGGCCGCTTAACGGGACCACATTGATCAGGCTAGTGGAGACTCATCACGGCATCTGAAGCCCTGGGCAATTCATTTTGTGTGGATGCAAAACCGACAAAAGCTCTCACTTGAACCCGAGGCACAAGGGCATGGAGGACATAGTCGCACAAATCCCCAGGCAACAGAAAGCGACAGGGTGCAAAAAAGTACCTTTTAAACATTCTGTTGTCATGGCAAAGGGAATTTACCATGCCCCCGCGAGCTCGCCGACTGTCCGCATGGCTGAAAGAGTCCCAGGCAGCGGTTCGTAACAGATG